TGGGGACGCCGGGCAGAAGTCGTGTGCGACTTGTTACGAGACGCCCAGAGGCCTGCCGCGGGCCTTCCGTCACCATTGATCATCATCCTCCTCGGTTCGGGCGCACGCGAACACGGACTACGGATCCATGGATCTGGCGCGTGGGCGCCAGGTCCACGGATCGGGGAACGTACCCCCCCCCCCCCCCGAAGCATGAGGCCAGCGCCGCCTGAGTTGGCTGCTGGGCGCGCCGATTCTGCAAGGAATGGGGACCCGTCGCTACCCCACGCGCCTGCATCCAACATTTCGAAAGCAAAACAAACGGCATAAACATAAACTGTCGGAGCTCCGCGCGGACTTCCTTGGATCCGCGCTGGACCCGCCGCCCTGTGGCGCGGCGCGCGCCAGGGGCGGCGCGGGAGGCGCCGCCAGGGACCTCCTCCTCCTCCTCCCCCTCCCTTTGTTCCCCCTCTCCCCCCTCCTCCTCCTCCTCCTCGTCGTCCTCCTCCTCCTCCTCCTCCTCTTCCTCGTCGTCCTCCTCCTCCTGTTATCATTATCATCAGCATCATCAGCAGCGTCATCATCACCATCAGCATCATCCTCATTATCAGCATCAGCATCAGCATCATGATTGTCATCATCATCGTTAGTCATAGCATCAGCAATATTATGAATGATAGTAATGCTACTATTAGTTACATGAATACCATTAGTTGTGTTAGTACTCGTCGTATGGTTATTAGTAATCGGATTCTTAATATCAGTATTCGTTGTATTCGTATCAGTATGCGTATTGTGAATACGATTAGTTTTGCTATCACTAGTATCAGTATTCGTAATATTAATAGTATTGGCAGTACTGAATATCATAGTAGTACCACCATCAATAGTTATGTTCGTTTGCTTCTTATGGGTAGCCGTGGTAGTAGTAGTAGTAGTAGTAGTAGTAGTAGTAGTAGTAGTAGTAGTAGTAGCAACAGCAGCAGCAGCAGCAGTAGTACTAGTCGTAGTAGTAGTAGTAGTAGTAGTAGTAGTAGTAGTAGTAGTAGTAGTAGTAGTAGTAGTAGTAGTAGTAGTAGTCGTAGTAGTAGTAGTAGTAGTAGTAGTAGTAGTAGTAGTAGTAGTAGTAGTAGTAGTAGTAGTAGTAGTAGTAGTAGTAGTAGTAGTAGTAGTAGTAGTAGTAGTAGCGTACATAGAATCAGTGTGTTCTTCAGCGTTAGTATTACTAATACGTACTGTTAGTAGTGTGCTTAGTAGTAGTAGTAGTAGAAGTAGTAGTAGTAGTAGTAGTAGCATCAGTAGTAGTAGTGGTATGCTGAATATCCGTGTTAGAAGCGCGACTGGTCTTAATAGTTTTCGTATGCTCCATACCCTTGTTCTTACTATAAAAAAAACGGCCAGGAATCTGCTTATTCATAATATCAGTTTGATGAATGCTATTCTACTTGTTCATACTAGTAGTAAAAATACTACGACCCGTATTGAGATTCATCTCCCCCTCCTCCTCCTCCTCATCGTTCCCCTCCTCCTCCTCCTCCGTATCGTTCCCATCCCCCTCCTCCTCCTCCTCCTCCTCCTCCTCCTCCTCATCCTCCCCCTCATCATTATCATCATCATCATCATCATCATCATCATCATCATCATCATCATCATCATCATCAGCATCATCAGCATCAGCAAAATCATCATCATCATCTTTTTCCTCTTGACTGCCGCTGTCTCTACCTCTTCCGTTTCCTCTTGCTTCTCCTCCTCCTCCTCTTCATCCTCCTCCTCTTCCTCCCCTTCGTCGTTGTCCTCCTCCTCCTTTTCCTCTTCCTCCTCCTTCCCCCACCCCCTCCTCTTCTTCTTCCTCCTCCTCATCAATCTTCTCTCTCTCTCCTCCTCCTCCTCCTCCTCCTCCCTCCTCCTCCTCCTCCTCCTCCTCCTCCTCCTCCTCCTCCTCCCCCCCCCCCCCTCCCTCTCCCACTCCTCCCCCCCTCCTTCTCATCCTCGTCCTCCTCGTCCTCGTCCTCCTCCGCCTCCTCCTCCACACCCTCTTCTTCTGCTTCTTCTGTTTCTTCCTCCTCCTCTGCCTCCTCCTCCTCCTCCTCTTCCTACTCCTCCTCTTCCTGACAAAATCACCAGCATCATCAGCACCAGCATCAGCAGCAGCATCAGCATCATCCTCATCCTCATCCGCATCCTCATCATCATCATCATCATCATCAGCATCATCAGCATCATCAGCATCAGCATCATCATCATCATCATCATCATCATCATCATCATCATCATCATCATCATCATCATCATCATCATCATCATCATCATATCATCATCATCATCATCATCAGCAGCAGCAGCAGCATCAGCAGCGGCAGCAACATCAGCATCGTCACCAGCAGCATCATCAGCAGCATCAGCAGCAGCATCATCATCACAATCAGCAGCATCAGCAGCATCAGCAGCATCATCATCAGCATAATCAGCATCATCATCGGCAACAGCATCAGCATCACCATGTGCATCATCATCATCATTATCAGAATCATAATCCGCATCATCAGCAGCATCATGATCATCACCATCATCATCAGCATCATCAGCAGCATCAGCATCATCATCAGTAGCATCGTCATCATCATCATCATCATCATCATCATCATCATCATCATCATCATCATCATCATCATCATCATGATCAGCATCATCATCACCATGACCAGCATCATCATCATCAGCAGCAGCATCATCTGCATCAGCATCAGCAGCATCATAACCACCATCATCATCACCACCAGCATCGTCATCAATAGCATCAGCATCATCATCAGCAACATAAGCATCCTGGTCATCATCATCGTCGTCGTCATCATCAGCATCAGCGTCATCATCATCAGCAACACAAGCATCATGATCATCATCATCATCGTCATCATTATCATCGTCATCCTAATCAGCAACATCATCATCCTCATCCTCATCCTCATCCTCATACACTTACTCCTTCTCACAATGATGATCCTTCGCCTTTCAATATTATCTTCCCGCCCTCCCTCGCAGAACCGTAGCGTCCATCGGAAGAAACAAACACTTGGCCACCGCTGCAGAGGCTCAGCCAGCCTTTCTGTAGGACGCGGCGGGTCGCGGCCAACCCACATCGCGTCCGAGGCGCACGGGAGGCAGCCAACATGTGAACTCTACTCAGCGTTCGAGAACCAGCGTGTTATTCCTCGGCGCCTGGTAAACTCGCACGTCCCAGAGGACTCAATGGGAAGAGGAGAAGCAGGAGGAGGAGGAGGAGGAGGAGGAGGAACAAGAAGAAGAACAATGAGAGACACAAACTAGACCAGGCTTTAGATCGAGGAAGGGGCGGCACACCTAAAAAAGGCTTACTGCCTACTGCTGGCGCCAACTGAAGACAAATCCTGCGCCCAAAGAGGAAAACAGAGGCAAGCATCTACGAGGAAAAGAAGGAGGGATAAAGAGGAAGAGGAGAAAAAAGAACTAGGGTGTGGAAAGGCACACGCTGGATCATACAACAAAGCTAGCTAAAAGCTATGCTCCGCATTACACCCAGGGGCAACATCCGCTGTCACAGACGGCGGTCTGGCACAGACGTGCAGCCAAGTCGTGTATAATGTCATGTCTAGTTCATGACACACCTCCTGACAAGGGGTCAACCTCGCCTCGCGTGGGGTTGCTGGTTGCAAGACGTGCACCCGATGCAGCGCAAACAAGCCATATCAGGAATGGTGGCCGGGTTGTGCTTCCGGGTGGTCGGTACTTACAGATATTGACCCCGCAGGTGTACGTACAGCTTGGAACGGCGACTGCCGATATGTAGAAGAATGTGGTTGGCGACGAAGAGCTGAGCGCCGCGCTCATTCGTCTCACCAGGTCCTTGTAGTTCTACGGATGGACAGGCTGATCATTTTCAAAATGGGGCTCTCACTTGGGATATCAACAAACATTACGACCTGCAGCTTGAAACGTGTGCAAAAGCAACACAGATAGACGACAGCTGGCTTTCTCACACGAGGCTCTCGCTTGACAGTTCCTTGAACTTGCTCGCCCTACGCTCCGCACGTCTTACGATGAAGAAATATAGGAGCGGGACCATTTCAAATCGGCACTCTGGTCTAAATAACAAACCCACGAGGCGCTCCTCGTTCAATGGGGTACTTCCCGCGGTGAGAAGGTATCCTTGCAGGGCCTTCTGAGGAATGGACTTTGGACGGAGGGTGTATCGCAACATCGCTGGGAATGCTGAGTTCACTCTCGTCCTTATCCTCCTTCTCCTCCTCCTCCTCCTCCTCCTCCTCCTCCTCCTCCTCCTCCTCCTCTAGCTGCCATCTGGGCTTAAGAGATTGTCAGGGCAGCCAGCACAGCCACCCAGCCATTACACAGCATGTGTAGAGAGTAACTGGGAGGAGGCCCGCACGGCAGCGACGGCATGGACGGCCTCACGGCATGTCAACGACCTGATTACCGCGCAGCGTGTGCCCGCTGGACCGCAGAGGCCCCCTGCAACGACTTCAAGCTCACAGAAACGCGCCAGACGCGGACTACTCCTACACTGCGCCCGACAGACTCAGCTGAACTACCTCGCCTTCGTGGCGCACGAGGTGGAGAAGGACTACGAGGGGCACGCGTACACGGCGACCGAGCAGTTGACCCTCACAGAACAGAACGCGAAGCTGGGCACCATGGACGCAACGAAGCACGAGAAGCCGCAGAACTACGTGGACCAGGAGGAGACGCCGGGCACCAAGGACCACGAGACGAACGAGAAGCCGAAGTACGACGACCAGGACGCGACGCCGGGCACCAAGGACGCCACGACCCAGGAACAGCAGAGCGACGTACCAGGCGGAGACGCCGAGCACCAAGGACCAGGCGACGCGCGAGAAGCAGCAGAGCAAGGACGACCAGGACACGACGCAGTGCAGCAAGGACACCGCGACCCTGGAGGAGCAGCAGAGCTTCGCAGACTAGGAGGAGACGCTGGGCACCACGGACCAAGCGACGCACGAGAGGGAGCGAAGCTGGGCACCAAGGACACCGCGACCCTGGAGCAGCAGCAGAGCTACGCGGACCAGGAGGAGGCGCCGAACACCAAGGACCACACGACGCACGAGAAGAAGCGGAACTACGACGACCAGGAGGAGACGCTGAACACCAGGACAGAGAAGCAGCAGAACCGCGACGACCAGGACCCGGCGCTGGGCACCAAGGACACCACCCTGGAGCAGCAGAGCTTCACAGACCAGGAGGAGGCGCTGAACACCAAGGACCACGCAACGCACGGGAAGCAGCGGAAGTACGACGGCCTGGACGAGACGCCGGGCGTCGGGGACGCCACGACCCTGGAGCAGCAGAGCTACGCAGACCAGGAGGAGACGCTGCACACCAAGTCCCGCGCAAAGCACGAGTAGCAGCACAGCTACGTCGACCAGGACGAGGCGCTGGGCGCGCAGGGGCGCGAAGATAACGCGGCGCGCGAGGTGCCGCCCACTTTCATCGATCTCGTACACGACGTCGTGCGGATGCGGCTCGAGGAGGGGCGCAAGGTCACAGCCCCGTGGATGTGCGTCTTCGAGCGTGGCGACATGGGAAACATAATAGGGATGGTCGTGCCGAGCGACACCGAGAGCGACGAAGAGGACACCGACATAGAGTGGGGCGTCTGAGAGGGCGGGTGACTCCCCGCCCAACCACCTTCGCGTGTGGTTGAACGGTGCGGGCTGGGCCCAAGCGTTTTTGTGACGCCAGCTCTCCCCAGCACGAAGGGACCACAGCTAGGCCGAGCTAGAAACGAGTTTTTGAGGTTGCTTGCTCCACAGTAGGCGACACACCAGACATCGGCCCCGCAGCTCGATCGATCGATCGATCCTCCTCCTCCTCTTCCTCCTCCTCCTTGTGTGTGCTCCTGCTCCTCCTCCTTCTCATCCTCCCCCGCCTGCTCTTCCTCCTCCTTCTCCCAGCACGCGTGCGCGGGAGTTCCAGACGGCAACACGCATTCACCTCAAGGCCGACGAAGAAGAAGGCTTTCCTACCACAACGCGCATTTCACCGCAAGACCGAGGGGGAACAGGAGGAGGAGAGGAGAAGGAGGAGGACGAGGAGTAGGACGAGGAGGAGGAACGCGGCAGAGGACGACGAAGAAGACGATGAGGAGAAGAGGGGGGGACCCGGCAGAGGAGGGGGAGGAGGAGGGGGAGGAGGAGGTGCGGGAGGAGCGGAATGATGAGAAGATAAAGAAGAGCAGGAGGAGAAGAAGACAGCGTAGAGGGGATATAAGGGGGAGAAGGAGAGGAAGGAGGAGGAGGAGCCGAAGGAGGAGGAGGAGGAGGAGGAGGAGGAGGAGGAGGAGGAAGAGAAGGGGGGGGGGAAAGAACGGGAGCACGCGAAGAAGGAGGAAGAGGACGAGGAGAGGGGATGAGGAGGGGGCGGGTGGAGGAGGAGGAGGAGGAGGAGGAGGAGGAGGAGGAGGAGGACAAGGAGGAGGAGGAGGAGGAGGAGGAGGAGGAGGAGGCCTGCATGCGCTGAGCCCGGGGCCATGGGGACTCCTTTTTCCAGCGGCAACAGATTGCACTGGACAGTTTGGTCAAGGGTGCACCAGCCAAGGCAGCAGAGAGCACAATATTATCATGATAATCTGGGGCTCGCGCGTCCAGAGACGAGGGTGCAAACGCGCGCGAAGGTGGGGAGGCGGGAGCGCGACACTGAAGGGCCTTCACGGCAATGGATTGCGGCCCTTCCCCCAACACCGCGCGGCAATCTCGAACGAAGTACAGAACATGCCTGCCTGCGCTGAGCCTGGTGCCAAGGGGTTCCTTTTACCAGCGGCAACAGGTTGCACTGGACAGCTCAAGGAAGGGCGCACCGGCCACGGCAGCAGCGAGCAGAGCATCATCATGAGAAGTTCGTGCTCGCACGTGCCAGGGGCGTGGGTGCAAACGCGCAACCTCGCCGAAACTCACGCGGCCATCTCATTAGCACATGTCAAACAAAAGCTAAACACGATTCATCCGAAAAGAGGTTCTAAACGTTTCGTTTTCATGATCCCGCGCGCCTGGTCAAAAACGAGCGCCAGGGCGCGGCAGAGGGGCGGCGGGCATCTCTCGGCAGTTTTCGCGGCCCCTCCGGCCACCAGGCCACGAATGGGCGAACGAGGGCGACAAGCGCGAGAGCAGAGGCGACCGCGGCAGCGGCGCTCGAGGGCATTCGGCGGGCGCGCGGTCGCAGAGGATCCCTGTCGGCCTCTTCCAAACCGTTCCCCACTGACACATGTCAGCGATCACCGACTGGAACGACTTCCAGGCCGGCGCTTCTCGCGGCCTGGGGAGGAGCCACAGCCTTGACCCGGCAGGATTCTCAATCGCGGCAGGGAGGCCAAGCCGACGCATCAGCTCAGAAATGCCGCAACAGAAGGCGGCGAGAACGGTGCCGAGCCTCACGGCCCCCACGTCGTCAGGGCGCCTTCACTCGGCCAGCCCGCGCACGAGCGGGCCACTCCTGAGCCGCGGCGGCAGCCCGGGTCGAGGGCAACCCGGGCCCCGCAGCGGCCCTGCGCCCCTCGCCTCGCCCGCGCCCAGGTCTGACACGGCGCGCCCGTGAAGACACCCCAGACGAGCCCCTTTTCAGCGCCCGCCTGCGCGCTAGCTGCTGCGCCGCGCGCTCGGACAGGCCCCGCCGAGACCTCTGGAGCGGCCCCGCTCGAGCGCGATGAACCCTCGAGCCAGCAAGGCAGCGGACAGCCCGCCGCGCCCGCTGAACAGCCCCAGCAAATACCAACGGCTCGACGTGGCGGACACCTCGCGAGGCCAGGGCGCGAGCGAAGGCCGCGCGAGGGCCGACGCAGGCCTCGCCGCGGTCGCGATCGCCCGCGCCCGCGCGGCCGCGGGCAGCCGCTGCAGCTACTTCCCGAGGCGCCCCTCCTTCTGGTAGCGCTTGACGCTGGAGTCGCAGCGCCGCCTGTCGCGCAGCTTGATCTCCTGCGCTGTCCGACACTGGGCCGCACTGTCGCGGCTTGGCCCGCCGTCGCGGAGCTCGCACAGCTCCGGAGCCCGGCCCCCGACCCCCGCGCGGACGCCAGCTGGGCGAAAGCTCCTGACCCAGCCGGCGCGGTCGAAGCCCACGATGCCTCAGCCGACCGGCGTCTCGCAGCGCAAGACCACCAGCCCGTCGTTAAGGAACTGGACACCTGGCGGATCGAACACCGTCGTCACTGCGATCTCGCGCGCCTTGCTGCTGACCTGCCCCTCGGACAGGCGCGCGATGATCGCCCGCGTGGTAGCCGCGGCGCTGGGCGCGAGCACGGCGATCATCTCGCGCGCCCGCGGGCAGCAGCGGGGCGCGACGTCGGCCCAGGCCGCCATCGCCCAGACGACCGCGCACAGCAGCCCCGCGGCCAGGAGGGCGACCCCCTTCCCACGACAGCGACAGTCGCGCCCGCCCTGGGGCCAGCCGCTTCCAGCCCTTCAGCGCCCGCGTGGAGCGCGGAGGCGGCTCGCCCCCCGCGCGCGCACTGCGGCTAAAAGTACTTCACCGCCGCCAGCTGCTTGGGCCCGCGCTGCGCCAGATCCCCGCCCATGTGCTCGTTGTCCATCAAGGCGGCCAGCAGCACGTGGAGCTCCTCGTCGCTGGGCTCGGCGCCCCGCGGCCCGCGACCGCAGGATGGACTGCCACGGGGCGTCGCACTGCGGCGCCGTCTTCGCCGGCACCGACGCCAGCTGCAGGTCCGGCGCCCCGCCCGCCGCTTGGCCGCGGACTGCCGGCGAACCCCCCGGCCTCAGCCGCCGGGCCGCCCTCGCCGGCTTGCGCCCGACCTCCCGTCAGGCCAGCGGGCGCCGCTCCAGCCTCCGCGCCCCGGCCCCAGCCGCGCCCACGCGCCGCTCCCGCCAGGGGGGGCGGCAAGCGGCCGGACGGCCGGGGCGCAGCGGGCGCCCTGCGGGGGGCCGGCGGCGGCCTCTCGCGCCGCCAGCGCGTCGAGCTCCGCGCCAGCGCCGCGGACGTCGGCCCGGCGGCCGGCACCGCTCCCGTCGCGGGGGGCCCAGCGGCCGACGTCCGGGCTCGCGGCGCTTGCGGGGCCGTCGAGCCAGACTCCCAGGCGGGCGCGGCGGCGCGACGGCGCATCCGCCACGCCCCCCTCGGAGGGGGTCCAGCGGACGGCAGGCTGCGCCGCTCCGGCCAGACACCGGGCGGCCCACTGCCTCGGGACCCGCAGGACACCCCCCCGGCCGAGGAGCGGCCCTTCTGCAGGGCGCACACGACATGTGGTCGGACAGGAAAAAGACGCGACGCTCAAAGAACTTCGAGTCACGCGATTCATGTCGGAGCGCGCGGGCGATGGCGCGGCCCTCCAAGACGACCATCTTCCCCAGCCTCGCCCATTCCTCACTCGATGCGACCTGCCACCTGCCCCCGTAGAGCTCGCTCGAAACCGCCAAAACCTTCCACATCTCGCCCGCCGCGACCTCCTGCTCCCGCAGCCCGTTCCACCTCTCGCCCTCCACGACCCCCTGCCCCTGCTCCTGCTCCTCCAGGTGGTCCCCGGGTCCGTTGAGACAGTCACGAGGTCGCGATCCATCAGGATGTAAAAATCTCAAAATTTCGGTGCACCTACCAGCGGTTCGGACCACGGCGACGCGGGCCCCCTCCTGACAAACTCCCCCCCCCCTTCCTCGCCGGCGTCGCTCGCGCGCGCGGCGGGGCCCCAGGGCGCGCGAATGTTGGGCCCTGCGAGACGCGCGAGAGGAGAGCGGCGGCCCACTGGAGCCCCCGGCGGACCGAAGGGCAACTTTCTGACGCGGCTGAAGTACTTCCGACAGAATCTGCAGGCGGAGCTAAAGACAAACAGGAGGGGCCTCCCAGCCAGGGCGACGAACGCGAAGTGCCCCGTGACCTTCCCGACCTGGCGGTCCGGAGCGCAGCCCTGCCCCGGGGGCCCCTGAACACCCATGCGCAGCCTCCAAGCACGCCGAGCTCGAGGCCTCAGAGCCCCACGATCCCCATCGAAAACCCAGCCGGGCTGGTCCGAGAGGATGGCGGGGACCTCCGTCGGGCGCACGGGCAGGCGATCGCAGGGGCTGGTGCATGGCGGGCCGCTCGTGACTGGCGCGAGGTCCTCCATCTGCGCCGCCAGGAGGTCCTGCCGGACTTCGCAGTCCCGGCGCCTCGCGCCGCGGCGTGGCGCGCCAGATGCCAGGTGAAGGACGGCGGCCCGATGCTGCATCGTGATATGTGGAAGACCCGCCGCAAGCTCACAGCCGCGGACTACGGCGGGGACACGCGCGACGCGCTGTGCAGGATGCTGGAGGCCATAGGGGGTCGGGCCACCTGTATGTCTTCAACCTGGCGAGCGCCGAGACAGATTACAGGGGGCTCCAGCCCATCGAGCGCAACTGCATGGGGCGATCGCAGCGCCGAGCAACAGCAGCGCAGCAACGAGCTGCCGCTGGAGGAGACGCAGGCCTTCATGGGCGGGGCGCGCCCCGCCTCGATGGCGCGCCCGGAGCTGCCGGGGGCGGTCTCGAAGGAGATGGGGCGCATCTCACGCATCGAGAAGAACGCCGGGGAGCTACGGGAGGAGCAGGCCGCCGCCGCGATCCCCGATGGGGCCGCGACGGCCCCACTGGCCGAGCGGGGAGGCCGCGCCAGGATGGGTGTGGATC